GATGGATGGATGGATGGAGTACATGCATAAGCTCTCCAAACAAACCACAGAAAAGTTCCACTACACACTAAATATAGCCCTAATCAGTCCTGTTAAAGTTCACATGAAGTCGTTACTCACCTTCGTTTTCTTTTAATCACATTCTCAACAGCACTTAAGAAGTGGATGTCAGAGTCTCATTCTGAGTTACCTTTATATAAAAAATAACTCACGTCTCATCACCGCTGCTTTCCTTCTTCTGTTGTCTAATCTTCAGAAGGAGTCTCAGAAGAACGAGGCCACTCAGATGCAGCGCAGACATGAGAGGAAGAAGGAGAAGAGGAAAAAGAGTGCGAGGCTGCAGCTGCAGGTCCAGGAACAGAGCCTGGAGTTGAGCCAACCGCAGGCAGGTAACACGGACCAGACGGAGGACACCCACGTCCAGCCTCAGCCGAAAGAAACACCGCCGGCCCAGACAGAGAAGCCTCAGAAGACCGTTATCAAAACTGAACCAAAGACGCCGAAGGCAAGAGCTCGATTGTTCGCTGTCCAACGCCGAGTGATTCTTTCGCACACCAATCACTGCAGATTGTAGTAAACACACAGCACTTGACACGTTTTGGATTTGTGTTTAGGTTCCCAAGGTCCATCATCCGTCAGTGATCCAAGAGACGGGCTTCTGTAAGGAGTTTGTAATTGGAGATCTGGTGTGGTCCAAGGTGGGCACGTACCCCTGGTGGCCCTGCATGGTCTCCTCTGACCCACAGATGAAGGTCCACACTCGCATCAACACCAGAGGTACGATTAACGCTCACAGTCCGTCTGCTCTCTTTTAAAATACGTGTGTGAATGAGTAGGGACGTTAATCCCACCGCTTCTTCCTCTGCTGCTGTGCAGGCCACAGGGAGTATCACGTCCAGTTCTTTGGCAGCGTCGCTGAGCGAGCGTGGATCCACGAGAAGAGGATCGTCATCTACCAGGGGAAGCAGCAGTTTGATGACCTTCAGGCCGAAACCCTGCGCAAAACCACAAACCAAGTCGAGAGGCACAAAGTACGTACAAATGTCAGACTGGTCCATAATAAAGACTGCGATAACTCAATTTCTGTGTTTTTTCAGATACATTATAGACATTTCCAGGGAAAGAGTCATTAAAGTAAATTTAATTAAGCATCTCAAGAATCTGAAAAGTCAGATTTTATACATACTATTGATCATGAGATGTAGTTCATGCATGAGTTCTGACACTGATTCACTGCTTATATTTATTACCACGGTTGTAAAATGAAGAATCCCTTCAATGCAAAAGAGAAGAAAACGTATTTTCCACATCAACAATAAACTCAGTAGACTCCACAGTAGAGTCGATGCTGCTGCTGCTGCTGTGACAGACATCGTGTGCTTTTTTTTGTTCATTGATTTAGTTGAAGATATAAAAGTCGTATTGTAAAATAGGCTTTGCAGTGCCGACGCTCATTTTGAGACGTAATTTAGAGTTGATTTGTCTGTTTATGACCATTTCTGAGAGACTAATGAGCAACTAATCAGCGGTGGAAACGTCCTCTGAGCCGTCCTCTCACATGACGACGTTATGGGCTGCATGAAGGAATGAATTCAGTTCTCTTTGTGTTCTGCTGTCTCATGCCTCATCCTCCCTGGGATTAGACTTAATCTTTACTAAACATCGGTGTTTATCGTGCAACAGTTTCTTCTCTTCAGCTCTCGTCTCGTCACTAAATACGTTCCAGTTTGGAGGTTTCTTTTTCAAACATTTCAATCAGTTATACTTCCTTAACTCATAACCTTAAAGTCATTACGGTAATAATGACGAATGATGGCACTTAAATAATTCTATGTATGTATGTTATTCAGAGCATCGTGTGTTTACCAGTTTCTGTATCTTGTCTCTCCAGCTGCTGAAGCCGATCCCTCAGCGCGAGCGTACTCAGTGGGAAGTGGGTGTGGGCCACGCCGAGGACGCCTTCCCCATGACGCGGCAGGAGCGGATTGACAATTACACCTTCATTTACGTCGACCCAGACCCCAACGAAGCCCCGCCCAGCAAGAAACCCACCATCAGACCTGAGAAGCGAAGCCGGCGCTCCAGCGGCTCCATCAGCAAGAAGGAGGACGGAGGCGTGAAGTCACCGGACAGAGAGCAGCCGCCGCGAAGGCAGCTGCCGCGGAGACAGTGTAGTGTTTCGAACGCGGACGACAACGCGAACTCCCAGGCCTCCGGCGAAGAGAAGAGCCAGAGGGGGGACCAACGGAAGAACAGCTCGCCGAAACAAAACGCCGGCTGTGACGCGCGAGCACGGCAGGATTCTCCGCCTCCGGTCAGGGCGTGGAAAACAGCAGCTGCCAGGAAGCTGCTGCCGCTCTCCATCACCATGAAGAGGCTAAATGTGGAGATCACAAAGTGCGACTGGCCTCTCCTGCAGAAAAAAGCTGCTCCGTCTCCAAAGAAGGACAAAGAAGACGAGAGTGAGGAGCGAGTGGAGAGAGAGGCCAGGCAGCCCGACCTGGGATACTGCTCACCTGAGGTTTGTGCAGACAGAAAAAGCTTTTGCACGACGGCGTTATCCTGTGAAGTTATATCTAAATGTTGCCCCCAGCAGGACAGCAGAGCTAAACCTGAGCCCAGTCCCGAGGAGGAGGAAGACGGGGATGAAGGGGAGGACGAGGGGGAGGAGAGGAGAGGCTCCCCTGCCAGTCGGAGGAGCGAGGAGGGAGGAATGCAGCAGACCTCCTCTCCTGGATCACACCACAGTAGTCCTCAAGGTTCGTAAAACGCAGACACGCAGGTGAATATTTGACTGTATACGGCCGGTCGGCTCAATGCTTTTTGTGTTTTCAGGTTCTCAGGAGAGGAAGCTGCAGCGGCGGTCGGTCAGGAGCAGGTCTGAGTCGGAGAGAGGCACCGATCCCGTCCCGAAGAAGAAAACCAAAAAGGAACAGGTATCAGTCCTCCACAGCTGACCCCATGTTCAGACCAAGTAGTGTCATATTGAAAAGCGGGTACATACAGCTGCAGCGTTTCCAGTATGTTGTAACCTTCTCCCGTTATGTTTGGTACACTCTCTGCTGTCAGCTACCAATGAAAAAGGTCAAATATATAAAAAATATGAGCCAAGACCTTTGGTTGGAGTAACAGCTCCTGAAGTTTGAAGGCTTATCAGATGCCAAAACTCTGCTAAGAGGTTTTTAATATTATGATAGAGGGTTTTACGACTGCTGGAAATCTGATTCTCATTTCTCCTGCATAGCATCAGTTGTTAAGTAAACAGTGAAATTATATGTCTGTTCCAGTCTAACCTGCCAGGAATGCCTGCTCTCACATACATAATGTCAGACTGAGTGAAGGAGCAGCTTATTTTGCACACTGCTGATGCTGCTATACGTGTGGATTAGAGAGAATTTTCTAACCCGGCATCACCCAAATCTCAAAGCTCACCAACAATATCCTAAACTTTCACGGTTGCTTTCCTCGCAGGCTGAGATGGCTCCAGAAACCACGCTGAGGACGGGTTCACAGAAAGGTAAGGGATCTTTCCTTCACACCTGCCGTAAACCCGTTAGTGGAAACTCCTCAAAAAAAAAAAGTGAAATCCGTCTTTCCGTCACTCATCCGTGTGATCCTTTAGGAGCCAGTGAGATCTCAGATGCGTGCAAGCCCCTGAAGAAGCGAAGCAGGGCGTCGACAGATGTCGAGATGGCTTCATCTCAGTACAGAGACACGTCTGACTCGGACTCCAGAGGCCTCAACGATCCACAGGTAGGTTCACAAACACGCGAATACGCAAAGAGGGAAATGCTGCGTTTCACATGTTTAGCCTTCTAACAGCCACCATGTTGCCAGCAACCTACTTCAGCTCGTTTAAAGTGTCAGTTTGGACATGCTACACGTGTTTAGATTAGTTAGATTCTGCACAATTCAGTCAATAATTAGAAAGTCTCCAGCTCTTATGTAAAAAGTATGTTGTGCTTTACAAAGTTAGTCATCTTCTTGTGTGTTTATGCAGTCTTTGCTTTACTTACAGAGATGTTTACAGCACATCAGACATCATTTAAAGGACAAACTTTTAGTCATTTTATCTTGTCTTTGCACATTTTATTTATTTCTGCGCTCGTCACGATATCACAACGTAAGCTGATCATTTATTGAAGGTGTTATTTAAGCAAAAATGGTACAAATTCAACGCTTTCAGCTTTTCAAATGCGACTGTTTCACTGTTTTTATTGGGTTCTGTGCCACTGTGTCACGTGTAGTCTTTTTTTTTTGTTGTTGAATATTTTACAAACCCAACAGACAGTTAACAAAATAACTTACACATTAATTAATAGAAAAAAAGAATCCTCCCAGCTCTGATGTCCACACACATAAAGAGTCATTCAGCCCAGTGGCTTACATTCGGTTGCGTCTGTGCTCCAGGGTTTATTCGGGAAGAGTCTCGACAGTCCAGCAGCAGCGGACGCGGACGCCTCAGACACGCAGTCGGTGGACTCCGGTTTATCCCGTCAGGACAGCAGCACCGGCAAGAGAGACACTGTGTGCCAGGTCAGCGCCGCTCATGACTCATCTCCTGAAAGCTCACAGGCACCGAGCTGTGTGATGTTGTAACCGTCTCTGTGCGTTTTTGTGCAGATCTGCGAGGTGTACGGCGAGGGTTTGGTGGTGTGTGAAGGTGAATGCAGCCGACAGTTTCACCTGGAGTGTCTCGGTCTGTCGTCCCCACCTGAAGGCAGATTCACCTGCCTGGAATGTAGAAATGGTGAGAAATCAGAGAGCAGCTCCGTCTACATCATCACGTTTGTTGTGTTCGCCTCTGTAGCTACGATAGACTCTCTGTCGTTCCTTTTCCAGGCAATCATCCTTGTTTTAGCTGTAAAACGGCGGGCCGGGAGGTGACCCGCTGCTCCGTGTCTGGATGTGGTTGCTACTACCACGAGGATTGTGTGCGTAAACTCCCGGGCGCCACCAGCAGTGGTGGAGGCTTCACCTGTCCTCAGCACAGCTGCTCAACCTGCTGCCTGGAGAGAGACCTGCAGCGAGCCAGCAAAGGTACAACAGCATCTGCTTTGTCTTTTTGCATTCTCTGATTTTCTGTTAGCCGCTGCTACGTCCAGAAAACATAAAAGAAAATGTACGACACCCTAAATCTTTAGTTGCATTTTAGGCTTCGTAGCTCAAATTATAAGAAGTAGAAAGTTCACAGATCTGCTTTCTTGTTAAAACATGTACGACTGAAGTGCAACAGGAAGAAATAAGACATCAAGTGCTTTTCTTAAAGGAAATTAGGTTGAGAAAGAGAGAACACACAGAGAAAGTCAGACTTACTACGTGCTGCATTTCTTACAGAATATTTGCTTCACACATTTGGTTCCACCTCAAACTAAAGTGCTCTATTTGGTTTGAGATGATGAAGGGCAACTGGAGGCTGTAGACCACTGCAGAAGTAATTGGCATGTTCCTGGAAATGTCCTTCAGTATCCTGTTGGAAATATCCAATCTGGAAAAGGGAATGAGATGCACTGACAAAGTCTTCAGGTTTTAAAATGACTCTCGAATCCAAAATGTGCCAAACGTCTCCCCAGAAGACATTTGTCACACCAACACCAGAAAGGATGAATGCTTGTTGTGTTTGATTGTGACCATAAAGAAATGAGGACATTTGGGTAGTTGAGCAATTCTAGAGAGGAAGTAAATGAAATCTGAATCTCACACTTCTGCAACCGCTGCATTTTTACATAATAACAGAAACCGCCTCAGGGATCAGACTTAAATAACATCCTTCAGCGATTTATGTTGTGTCCGTCGATGAGTCAAAACATTGTGACCGCTCGCAGAGGAAGCAAACAACTGATTGTCATCCAACACTGCGCGTGTCGTTGGCTGGGATATACTGGATGCAGGAGAAATGAGCAGGTGCGAAGGCCTAAGAGACAAGAGCCGCATTGTTCGAGGCATCTCAGGAACCGTGAGTCTTGAGCGGGGACGAGCCATGTGCCGGTGACGGGGTGGGTTTGGACAATGCAGTGCAGTAAAGCAGCGACATATTGACCCATTGTTTGAGTGTGTTTAAAATCCAATATCAGCAGGAGATAACTGTGGTTGTTTTGTTCGTCTTTGCAACCCAAAATAGTGACTCCCGACTTTTCTGACTCGTGATCTTTTCTATCAGGAGCCTCTTGTCACGTTTCAGTCGTTCGCAAAGCAAAAACAAACCAATGGCCTAGAGGTAGCTGTGCAACCAGAGGTCAGCGGGAGGTCGTAGTCCAGTGGTTTTACACGATGAACTAATTAATCCAAGGGGCGTAGTACGAAGCAAGCGTGGAAGAGCTGGGCTTTCTGTGCATTTACTGGTCATTAGGCTGCGTGCGCTCCGATAAAAACGGATGCATCGTTTGACTTTTCCTCTGCACAAAGTGGGCCAACAGCACACGTCAGTCAAGAGAACAGATAGTTGGAATTTAGAGCCGTAAAGAAGATAAAATGTACTGCAGCTAATAAGGCGAGAGAGAAACGCAGGTAGAAAACTGTTAATGGTGTGAGTTAGTGTGTTTATTCTGTCACTCAGTGCGCTTCTAATGCGACAGCTGCACATTAGAGCTCTTAAAACTTTTAACGGCATTAAAACACAATGCTCAAGAAGTGCAATCAGCTCGGGTCCTGTCCCAGAGTGAAGGATATGTGGAGATTCAAGTTATTGATTGAATGTTTCCTGTGATCAGCATCAACAGACTTATCGGTTTTCTAATTTGTGTTCTGTTGGCAGCGCTGCTAGAAGTGTAAATCAGACTTTGCAGCGAATCGGCACCAAGCGGCGAAAAATATTTATGCGTTTTCTGCAGCTGATCGAGGTTCCTGTGGCAACGAAACACGCAGAATTTACTAATGTGCAGCTCAACAGGTTTGAGACTCTGCACCGCTCGGAGACGACATTGTCTGGTAAAGAAACGTTGAAAGGGAGACGCACCTCAGAGCCGATTTGAATCCCAAACTCTGAACAATAACTCCCTTTGAAGCAGGTTAGCTCTGGAGCATCAGTTGCCATGGCGACCAAGCCACCTTTATGCCACTGAAAACTCTGGAATTATGTTCAACATACCTCACTAACCCGTTAATCTCGCCGCGCACTACACCCCTCAGCTCTGCGCCGACAAGCACCTTTGTGTTCACCTTTTATCGGGCGGGCCCATGTTGGAGGTGTGTGTGTGTTCTGGCAGAGATTATGCGTCTTCCACAGACTCGGGGTGGATGGGATGGACCAGAGGATTACGTTTTTATTCTGCCGGGCAGCGTTAAAGAACATAATCGGGTATGGGATGTGAACGTGGTGTGGCAATCTCACAAGCTTGCTCACAGACTGCTAACTGGAGGAATGAACATCAGTCGATATGCGATCAGTTGTTCTCAGACGAGCAGAGAAAACACCGTCTCATGTTCTCCACATCTTCTGAAGTTCAATATCTACTGTTGTGAACTCAATTGGTTTAGACCTCATTGTGCCTGCCTCGATTAAGATTTTACACAGAGTTGATTGAGGCTGCGTGGGCTGTGTGTTGGTTTTATGACAGTCGCTGGTTGTATAATCTGTGCATTATGTGTGATTTGCTATAGAGGCAGCCATATGTGTGCAGCATTTGGTCCATGACAGATTTTTCCCGACAGGAATACAAAAATAACGTATCGTTTTGTACGTTTCCCTTCTAAACTCTTCAGGTGGTTTGATTTAAAGTGCAGTTTGAAGCCCAAAAAGCAACAAATCAGATATATGATCAAGCAGCATCGCTCTGAAGCGTCTCACCAGATTTATCTGTGACCCCTCAGGTTGCAAATCACATTCCCAAAACAAACACAAAAAGTGTGAGTGTTCATTTGTCGAGCCACGTTTTGTCCTTTTTGTTATTTTCACATTGACTCACTGGGGATTCATTTCTCACTGCGATATAAAGTCCTGCACCTCTGTGGAAAGTAGAGAGAACTCAAACAGTACAGTTGTGCTTTACAAGAAGTTAAAATGCCACAAATCATAGAAAATAAACACGATTTGAATTTCTTTAATTCTTTATTTTCACAAAAATGTTAAAAAGTGGGATTAGCATGTCTAAAATGTTTGCAAGTTTCCACAATGCTTTCTCTACATTCTATAGATATTTTACTACGTATATTTTTAATTTGTTTCCATACTTACCTGCTTCTGTGGAAGCACAGTCCCTCCTTGAATATTTGTCATGTGACTGTTGGTTGCACTGAGTCAGTCGTTGCCTCACGGCTGAGCTGAGAAGCACAGATTTAAAAAAATAAAATAAAATAAAAATTTAAACATTCAACAGAATCTGGTTAGGACAAATGTTTTATTTTTAGTAAATTTTGGAAACGAGACATGTAGACAAGGGCTGCAAGATGGCTCATTGGTTAGCACCGTTGCCTCACAGGTCGCCGGTTTGCGTCCCGGTGAGAACACCGAGATTCTTTCTGCGTGGAGTCTTCATGTTCTCCCCGTGCTGCGTGGGTTCTCTCCGGGTTCTCCGGCTTCCTCCCAGAAACATATTGAGGTTAATTGGTGATTGTAAATTGTCCGTAGGTGTGAATGTGAGTGTGCTTGGTTGTCTGTCTCTAAGTGTAGCCCTGTGATAGACTGGTTACCTGTCCAGGTGAACCTGCCTTCACCCTGAGTCAGCTGGGATAGACTCCAGCCCCCCATGACCCTGGTGAGGATTTCTGGTTCTGATAAATGATCTAATTAAAACATTTTTATTTTACAGTAGCATGCCTTTCAGACCTGCTGGCTGGTTTTGGGGCTTCAGAGGGTTGAAGGACTTTAAGCTCTAAACTAAACTGACCTTTTAACAAATTGGGCTGAAGTCTTGATCATTTAGCCACCAAAACATTTCCAAGTGGTTGGCTTGTTTCCTTTTAAATTAGTTTAATTACAGCTGGAGCCCATAAAGGAATATGACCTACATCTCTTTATAAGCTCTGCGCTGCTCTGCATCACAGCTACATGGGATGGCAGCGGACAAGGACGCTGCACCTGTTGTAAAGTCACCACACAAGTTTTTTTTTTAAAAAAAGTCCTCTTCCTTTTCTTTTCGTTCCTTCCAGGTCGTCTGATCCGTTGCATCCGCTGTCCGTTGGCCTACCACACCGGCGACAGCTGCGTGGCGGCGGGCAGCGTCATCCTGACCCATCACATCATGATCTGCAGCAACCACGGCAGCGCCAAGAGGAACGGCCTCCTCAGCTCCCCCGTCAACGTGGGATGGTGCTTCCTGTGTGCCAGAGGTAAGCTCCCTCAGCTGAACACGCTAACCGGCTTCCTCCCCCTCATACAGCAGTGACCTCACACTGACGGAGCAGACGTCTTAGTTTGACCAAACGTGGGGGGTTTCACCTCCACCGGCTGATTGCAGCCTTGTGACAAACAACAGCATCAGTCCTTTTTTACTTTACCTTCACACTGGAGCGTCAGCGGGACCTGATCGCCCTCCATCACTGTAGTTTTTTTTCATCTTTTGTTTTTTCGAGTTTAACCACTTTTTGATACGTCTCATAAGTGAAAACTGAAACCTTCCATGTTGTGTTTAGGTATTTTATGTTTCTCTATCTTTAATAATACATGTTCCGTGTGTGGCGTTGTTGTTCATGAATAGCAGTGCTGTGAAATGTAATGTGTGTTTTCCATCACGATACTAATACGATGAGTGATCCAGGCTGCTACACTGCACTCCACTTCTAAAACAATCACGCCTGACCTGAATGCTGATGAGAGGGGAAAAAAACTAAACTCTTTTCTGTGACGTTTAGCCAGTTTAGATCTGATTGTGTGTAACAACAGGTTGAGTGCACTGTTTGGCCTCTTTGTGTGTCGGGACCAACTTTGTTTTACTTTTTTTTTTTGTGTGTGTGTGTGTGTGTGTTACAACTGTGTGTGTGTGGGCGTGCAAGACCGTGTGTTTGTTCTTTCTCTTTTGTAAATTTTTGGGTAATTTCGAGTTTGACTGCGGCTCACCCCCGTCTCTTCCTGTGTGTCTTGTGTAGGGCTGTTAGTGCAAGACCTTACTGACACCATATTAAGTTCATATGCCTATAAGTCCCACTACCTTCTGACTGAGTCAAATCGTGCTGAGTTGAAATTACCTATGATTCCCTCTCCTTCGTCAGCTACCAAAAAGAATGTTGGGAAAGGTAACTGAACAGTTTTTCTCTTTCTCCTTTGTCCCACTGGTCTGTGTTTGTGTTGTGCCTGCTCCCATTCTGATTTAGTTTCCCTTTTTTTTTTTTTTTTTTGCACACATCTTTCATTTCAAAGCCTTGAGGTGCAAAGTTAATTAACTGATTAAACATGCAGTTAATTTTAATGCAGAGTGGCGCAAAGTAGCTTCAGCCGAGTTCCCTAACACATTAACAGATAACACTGGGCCTCATGCAAGAACGTTTTTGTACTCTGGGTCAGATTCCCCAAACACTAAACCGGTTGTAATTTGGTCTTTTTTTTTTTTGACATGTCGCATTGGAAAAGCACAGGTGTAAATGTAGTTATTATTAATCTAGCCGTTTTCACCACCAGGGTCCCGGTATCGCGCCTGCCGGCTCTCTGCCTCGCTGTCACGGCCGACGGAGACGCCTGAGCAGAGCAGAGCCGTTGTTAATGTTATTAGTGACACCTGCGCTTTTCCCACTATGACGAGTTGAAATGTCTGCTGTGAGAAAGACTCGCTGCTGCCGTCGACCCGATGAGCGTCGCCCGTTCGCTGCATCATTAGCATAATCGCAGTCTAAAGCTCCGTTTGTGGGCAAGAGTTAAAAAGAAAAGTAATTATGTTGGAAATTGGCAGCAAAAAAAACAGATAGCTGTGTTGTAAGAGGGTCAGAAACCAACGGAAATGTGAAGTAGACGACAGAGAGGAGGATCGCTGTCGTAAATATTCACAACTCAAGGTCCACTTACGCCAATTTTGCAAAGGACTAGTCTCACCTGAGGATCTCCAATTTGTCATAACTGTGGAATTCATTTGTGAATCTGCCATTTCCATAATTAGTGAAGTAATAATTCCATCATTCATGACTTCCCATATTTCGCCTGTGATAACGATTAGTCCCCATCGCTGTAATTTGTGGGTCATTTCTAAACATTTTTGCGAGGGTCTTTTTTGTTTTCCTCTGCACCTCTCTTCTGCCTCTTTATGGGAGCCTGCATTGTCAATTATAAATGAAAGCCTGAGCAGCGTTTTGGGTGGAAATTCATGGGCTCATGTTGCTACACAGCATGGAGACCCATTTACAGAAAGAGCCAGAAATCCATCACAAAGCGATTAGATAGATGACATGCATGGCAGCATGAGGTATGGAGCACTTTGCTGTCTTTCAGCAGGCTAAACTGTTTGTAAGTGGCAGCCTATTAATATCATATGCACGGATAATGTTAGGAAGTCTGAGGAACACACACTTTGCTTATTCCGTGTGAATGTGGCAAGAATTTGCCTCGAGTCCCTCGTTAATACTAGTCCTGCACAAATATGAACTAGCTCATAATTGGCTTTTCCCTTCTGTAAAGTGACCGAAACACTGGACCTGTTGGTGCTGAATGTGATGTGACATTGAGACTGAACCATGAGTTTGTGTTACAAGGTGCAGTACTGTGCAAAAATATTAGGTGCTAAAAGTAAAATAGGGAAGCTTTCCAACATAATGCTTCTAGCTTTTTTTGCAGCTACAAAGTGCAGTAAAGAGAGCAAAACCAAAACATACGTAGGAGAGACAGGGAGAAGCTTCCACATAAAAAAGAATGAAACATCAGGACGATTCACAAAAAGAAAAAGCAAAACAGGTGAACCGAAAATCATCCATATCGGACCACTGCAGAAGAAACAACCACATCATGGACTGGGACAAGACCATCGGAGGGCAATAAATTTAAACGCTGGATCAAGGAGGCCGTAGAAATCAGGAGACGAAGCCAAAGACACCATGAGCCGTGATGAGGGGCGTTCATGCTGCCCCACACATGGGACGCTCTCCTGTAGAGACCACCGGGCGGCAGGAGATGTGGCCCGTTGGGCAAATCTAACAGATTGCCGGGCGGGTCACGCCTCCAGGAAACCACCAGCTGATAAAGACGTTTCTGAGGAAGACTGAAGTGACAGTCGAAACATCCATCCATCCTCTATACACCGCTTAATCCTCACTAGGGTCGTGGGGGGCTGGAGTCTATCCCAGCTGACTCAGGGTGAAGGCAGGTTCACCTGGACAGGTAACCAGTCTATCACAGGGCTACACTTAGAGACAGACAATTTAGAATCACCAATTAACCTCCAAATTGTTTTTGGACCTTGTGGGAGGAAGCCGGAGAACCCGGAGAGAACCCACGCTGCACGGGGAGAACATGGAGACTCCACGCAGAAAGATCCCGGGTGTCCTCACCGGGATGCAAACTAGCTGCGAGGTGACGGTGCTAACCACTGAGCCACCTTTCAGCCCCAGTCGAAACATTTCAAAGGTAGAAACAGCTCCGATCTAAAAAATACTCGTTATCTGATAAAAAACGAAACCTTACACCTGTAATCAGAGTAGACAAAATGAACCTAAAGAACAAAACTGGTTTAAATCACTATGTACTGTGACCACACTTTAAGAACCGCACCAGTTCTCCTTCGTACTCCAGTTTTTTTTGGAGGTTCTGTGGATTCAGGCCGTCTCAGGAGCTCTTTTACAAAGATATCACGCTGTAGGTCTGTGAAGAAAGACCCCCTCATCATCTCATCATGCCACCGCCGCTCGCCTTTGCTCATTCACGTTGAACCAAACAGGTCGGTGTCATGTTGCGCCAGCGTGTGCTTTCTTGTAGCGTGCCAGCACTCCAGAATCAGAACTGTGGCATGTCGCACAACAACGCCGATGACCACCAGCCAGCTCTCCCTTTCACACAGACGTCGGTTCGACTTTGTTCCTACCTCTGACGCTGGCTTCAAGGCACGACAGCAGTTTCATCTCCCTATCTTATACAGAAAAGAGCGAGGAAAAGTAAAAGTGGACCGGACTCTCTGTTCTTCTTGTCAGTAAAGATAGTTCTGTTGGACTCTTCCTGATGGTTTTAATGCAATGGATAAATGTCCAAACATCGAAAGTGCTTTAAACTTCTGCACATTAGTGTAAAGTAGGGCTACTGTAATTTGAAATTAATTTAAGGGCCATAAAATACATAAAATAGTCCATAAAATACAACAACATTACAAACACACACATTGCTCAGCAGGGTGATAGATGGCAGAACATTTACCAAACTGTGCCAATAAAATCTCGTCCAAAAAGCTTCTCAGTACGATAATTGTTTAAACAAGTAGCTGCTCGTTATGAAGCTGCATTTCAAGCTGATGTGGCAACATTTTATGTGTACGTAATTTGTGCGACAGATCTCGACCGCTCATGAATTTATCGGGGGGTCGACTCTCACCTTTATGCTGCACCGATCTTGTACGAGTGGTTCTTGCACGAGGCCCATTGTGAGATTGGTTGTGCATGAACAATCAATCCGGACGTATAAAAAACCGTTGCTCTGAACCAGATCAAACCGTTTCTCTGCTGGGAAAATGTAATCTGTCACCAAACGTCCAGCGTGACGCCCCGATGCTGGACGCTCTGGGTTTGGTTCCGGTTCCGTCTGTGGTTTGTGGAGCTTACCGCTGCTGGAGGCGCGCTGCTTCTCTGCTTCAGCACTCTGGGCTTGTTTTTGATTTGAAAGGCCTTGTCCAGCCTCACCTCCTTTATGCTGACTGCAACTAAGTTTTGTTTTTTGACCGAATATTTCCAGATGATATGATGTTTTTTTTGCTCCCCCTCATTTCCTCGAGCTTTGACCTGCCTTGGATGGAATACAAACCCAATCTGGACGAGATTTGCAAAAGCAAAAATGAGCTTTTTAATTAATAATTAAAGAACCAAAAAAAAAAAAAAGCATTTCGTAAATTGCCTCAACACATGATTCCATGCAAGCTGGTCTGTGCAGGTTGTGATATGTGTGATGGGAAACGTTTGCCTTACTGGCAGGACTGCATGCCTGCTTTTTGCCAATAATTTGTTATTTGAGTAAAAACCCTGATTCATTGTTAACTCGCTGGCTGATTTTTATTCCGGTGCTGCCGCATGTATTTCCCGTAGACTGGTCTTGGTACAGTGCTCTGAATCTGATTGCCAGACATGCTGTAACTATTGCAATAACAAGACGTAAGCGACCCCATGCAGGGCTTTTCCAACCATTTTCAGTATTTCTCCTGCAGTGTAGCTACAACAGGAGCCTTCACTCCAAAAAAAAAAGCTCTTGGCTTTAGCCTTTCATTCAGATTAATGACGATTTGTTGTTGTGGTAGCTTCAGAAACAAACGTCTTCCCTGCGAGGACGCTGTTTATCTCCTATTAGCTGTGATTTTATTCTGTATTTGACACCTTAGAGCATCCACGCCCCTCTTAGGCTTGTCTGCAAATGAGATTCAGAGTTTGTCCAGGTATTAAGGTGCATCACCTAATCATAAAATCCTCCTCTCTTTGCATACCCACTCCCCACAACGCATGCACACACACACACACACACACACACACACACAAACACATATACACACCTACACACACACACACACACACATGCACACATATGTACATCCACACAAATGTAGGAGGCAAGTTGCTGTGCTGCGACTCATGCCCGGCTTCCTTCCACCCGGAGTGTCTGGAGATGGAGATGCCGGAGGGCTCGTGGTCCTGCAGTGATTGCAGGGCAGGGAAGAAACCTCACTACAAACAAATTGTCTGGGTCAAACTGGGCAACTACAGGTAGGCTGAGAGCACTGATTACAGGCCGCTGTCAGTTTGTGGTACGGTTAAATTTAAAGGACGAGTCTGGTGATAGTTTGTGTTTTTGTCATCGCCAAAAAAAAATCCCATAAAAGGACCGAAACTAGCAATAAATCGATCCGATTCCTCCTCCGCCATTGTTGTCCGGAGACACGCAAGTGAGCCGCCCTGTTGTAATGAGGAACATGAGCGCTGGAGTTTATTCTGAGGCAATCCCACGTAAACAGTCTCGCTCCTGCAAAATGGTGCCTGACGTGAACTGTTTACTCCCGTTTAACCCTCAGGAGGCCGAGCAGCTTCTTGGCATTTTTGTCCCACATTTTTATAAAACACTGTCGGCTCGTTTTTCACTGCAATATGAGGTCCTGCATCTCCACAGCCATGGCTAGAAGTAGTGACGACTCAAAAATGTCCTTCGTGCAGTCGAACTAAATCATCAAAACACGGAAAATTAATCTATGTACTGTAGACATGCTACTGTCATGCTACTTTCATTTTTAATTTCTTTCCGTCCTCGTTTCCTCTCCGCTTTGCGTCGACACCGTCTGTAACTCGGTCCAGCTCAACCAGAAAGTCCCTGGTTTTGTTTTTGTGTGACCGTTTGTTGCAGCTGAGTCACAAATGGCTTCTCGGTGGTGCCAAAGAGGAGCAGATTTTTATGTTTTTTTGCGTAATCTTTTCAGTTAAAGGGGATTATTTTAAGCCAACTTTTAAATGAAGTGATTTTGATGAAATATCACGATTAAACGCTTTCTAGTTTACAGTTTCTTGCTCAGATAAACAGCCTGTTAAAGCCGCCTGGGGGTTTGGAGGTTCCCAGGGGTTAAGTAACTTCTTTCTGACAGCTGTTTTAAATAATAATAATAATAATAATTAGAATTATAACTACATTTGTGTAGCCCTTTTTTTTAAGGCTTCTCCTCAGTAGGAACAAATGGCCCCGAGGCCGACAGCTGCAGACTAATAGATGTTTAATTAGGTCTTTTTATAGCGTTAGTTGACATGAACTAAAGCACCAAAAACACATCACCAGTCTTGTCCTTTTAAGTTTAGTGCAACAAATTAGCCTCCGAGCGCACACGGAAACAGGATGTGATGCCGTATTATAGTCGCACGTGCTCAGAAAGTCCTGAGCCGAGCGCAGCCGCCGTGTTTTCTGGTGTCGTTCTCTTTATTATTTCATCACAGCTTACAGTCTGCTGGCGTGGAGCTAGATTAAACTGTCGGAGTGGGACGCAAATCATTTCTTTTTCGTTCAGAAGAAGTGATTTTGTGCCGTATTAGTGAAACGGGCAGATCTCAGGTCAGAGTTAGACAAACGTGGATTCTGTGATTTTTGGCAGAATTGGAGGAAATAAGTTTTTGCTGCCAGAAGCATTTTCTATAAAATGATCTTTCGCTTTCAGAAGTGAAAAATGAGAAGTAAATGTTTGAAAACGTTGAAGTGTGACACTCCCCTCCGGCTGTAATAACTCCAGGTTGTATGTTCTGTGATTGGTTTTTACCGCCCTCCTCTCTGTCCTCGCTTTTCTTCCCCTGTCCTACTCAACGACGTCTCGCTGCCCGGCAGGTGGTGGCCGGCGGAGATCTGCAACCCTCGTCTGGTGCCGTCAAACATCCAGAGCCTTCGCCACGACGTCGGCGACTTCCCCGTCTTCTTCTTCGGCTCCCACGACTACTACTGGATCAACCAGGGCCGCGTCTTCCCCTACGTGGAGAACGACAAGAACTTCGTCACGGGTCAGATAAACATCAACAAAACCTTCAAGAAAGGTAACTTATTCCTGGGAAGTTTTCCTCCACGTTGACTGCTGTGGTTTTATCCTTCAAAGCTGAAGGATCGATGAATTTCTGAGCGACTGTTGATGTTTCAGCTCTGGAAGAAGCAGCCCGGCGGTTTCAGGAGCTGAAGGCCCAGAGGGAGAGCAGGGAGGCTTTGGAGCAGGAACGCAACTCTCGCAAACCTCCGCCGTACAAATTCATCAAGGTGACGTCATTTTAGCATCCCACTAAAAACAAAAACAGCTGAAGTTAAATCCTAAATGTCTTCACTTGCTTTTCCATTTTAGTCCAACAAGCCAGTGGGGAAAGTGCAGATGCACGTCGCCGACTTGTCAGAAATCCCGCGATGCAACTGCAGACCGACAGACGAGCATCCCTGCAGCCTCGACTCGCAGTGTCTCAACCGCATGCTGCAGTACGAGTGCCATCCACAGGTCCGTGTGCAGATTGGTGATTGTTTAGCTAATTTAAATAAAGTGTGAGAAACTGCACCTCTGTTCATTTTCGTGTTTTTGCGATCAGGTGTGTCCCGCGGGAGACAACTGTGAGAATCAGTGTTTCTCCAAGCGGCTCTACGCAGAAACCGAAGTGATAAAGACAGACGGGCGTGGCTGGGGCCTCCGGACCAACCAGGCTCTGAGGAAGGTGGGTGTTGAGTCCAGAACGCTCACCAAAAATGTTCACCTTTAAAATTGTTGTTTTAACCCAGAGGTGTCCAATCCTGGTCCTCGAGGGCCACAGTCCTGCATGTTTTAGATGTTTCCCTCTTCCAACACACCTGATTCAAATGATCAGGATGGTTATCAGGCTTCTGCAGAGCTTGATGATGAGCTGATCATTTGAATCAAGTGTGTTGGAAACATCTAAAACATGCAGGACTGAGGCCCTCGAGGACCAGGATTGCCCACCCCTGTTTTAACCAGATTCCTATATTTTAACCATGTATAGAAAATAGACTAGTCTGAACTGCTTGCAGTGACGATGAAAAGTACCAGACTGCTGACCCTCGGCGCTGCTTGTAGCATGTACGACGAGCATCCCCCCAAAAACTCATCACAAGCAGCAAAAACACTGGATTAATTGTAGTAATTACTGTTGGGTAGTATTTTTTTGTTTAGTATTTTATGGTTAAATATTACAGCTATATTGTACCTGCTGCATAATAGTCAGAGTCGGTAAAACAGCCAAACCAAACTTTCAAGGGTGGAGCAGCCGAACCGGAGCAGTACAGTCTTAGCTTCACGGATTCACCAGCAAATTTCACACTAAATCGAACTGTCCGAACACAAATCGACCTCGTGGTAGCTCACGTGCTATAGATCAAATGGGCCACGCCCCTCGCCGTGGCGCCCAGTGGTGTCCCCGTGTCCTTGCTCTCACTCGCAATATCCGCCTCGGCCCGGCGCGAGTAGCCAGCTGCCAGAAACTGAACAAAGACAGTCCCGTGATAGCAAAGTGTTTTCACTATAAATGTGTTTAGCGAGTGTTGTCGGTAGTTCCTGAAGCTTCCTTACACACTTCCAGCGACGATTATGTCTGACAGGGCAGCAGGAACTTGACGCGGTCGTTTTAAAGCACAAATCACTCCATAACTTGTGAACAAAGCAATTTTAGCAAAATCCACCAGTCGCAGATCTAAGTTGTGGGCTCTACTGTCTGGCCTTAAGGTTTCAGGCCTTGAAAGTTAATCGATCCCAAGTTATTTGGTAGCAAACAAATAGACACACAAACCAACTTGCATGCGCCGAAGGTTAATAACAGATAAACGCAAACGATATGACAACGTATGTAAGATGTTATTGCGTACAGTGGAAGTGACGCTGTAGGAGCTGGAGGAAGCCCTAAACAGCAACAACACACCCATGTTCATCCACCACATGTAAGAAAACACACGTTAAACGTCACTTGACTTGCCGTCCCATCTTGCCCCTGTGGCAAATATTGCATCCCCGACTGTTCATCAGTTCACTGCTGTGGTCCGAGTTAAGATGTCAGGAACATTAAAGTGACTGAATGCTGTCAGTTTAACAGACTGATGAAGCCTCATGTTTGTCTGAAAAGGGCCTCGGTGTGAGTAGAGAGAAGGCGAAGGACATGAGATAAAGTTCCAGCCGACTGTGGCTAACCTTCACAGCACCGAACCTCAGGTGCCACTACAGTTTACAGACATGACAATACTCAGTACCTCTCCGTGGGTTTTCCTGATGACTGTATTTAAAGTTACCGAAAGAGGAAAAGCTCACAGGGTCAGTTCCTAAAGACACACGTCCTGTTGAATCGTCTGAATCGTTCATTCCCACCTTTCCTGTTAAGTCATCTAAAATAATAAAAATGTGACGTTTGCTGTTTCCTCCAGGGCGACTTTGTGACGGAGTACGTAGGGGAGGTGATAGACTCAGAGGAGTGCCAGCAGCGAATCAAGCGCGCCCATGAGAACCACGTGACCAACTTCTACATGCTCACCCTCACCAAGGTACGTGATGCTGATCAACACAGACGATGCCACGATAAAAAAAACCAACAGATATTGATCAACTAACGCCTTGCTTCCACATAGCTCTGTGTTCTCATACAAATCAACTCCACTGGAGCCTCTGTGATCTCCGATATGTTTGTGAAACTCCTTCTGTTTTTTCCAGACCGGAATTTGCCCCAAGTCAAAATTTAAGAGGCCACATTGTTGGAAAAACGAATTCAGGCTGTTCGGCTGTTTGCTGTCAAGTCGAGTAAATGCGAAAGCACAAAATAAACCAGTTTAGCCAGTTTAACCGATTCTAGCCATGCAAAATACGGAGAACACACATACTGTAGTGGCTCATATGTCCTGTATGGAGTAATGAGAGCGCCAAGTTACAAAAATAAATCAATAAAAGAATAATAAATTCAAAGTGGAAATAAAAAGAAGAATAAATGAAATAAAAAAATAAATAATGTGGCAATATAAATCAAAAATGAATCCATAAAAAAGGCTAATA